AGTAAGCTTGTGCGTTGGGAATTGAGTTCAAGTGAACGCTGAGTTCATAGGAGTAGTGAAATTGTATTTGGAATCTGGTTTCTCTCTTGTTTTAGAGAATACTGTTTTTATACTGACAATGAGACGAAATTTAATTTCTATATCGAAACTTGATGCTTCTAATTTTTCTTTTAATTTTGATAATGGAATGGTTGAATTGTTTTATGACTCTCGTTTGATTGGAAATAACCTCTTATGTGATGGTTTATATAAATTATCTTTGGCTTCTTTGGTGAAGTCTCTTGTGTTGCGAAAGTGTCAAAGAAAAGGTCTCTACTTCGAGAGTCATCCTCCATGTTATGGCATAAGCTGTTGGGTCACATNTGTTGCGAATGTGTCAAAGAAAAGGTCTCTACTTCGTGAGTCATCCTCCATGTTATGGCATAAGCTGTTGGGTCACATTTCAAAGGATATGAATGAGAGATTTGTTAAAATTGAGATACTTTCCTCTCTCGACTTCTCTGATTTTGACACTTGTGTAAATTGTATAAGAGGAAAGATGACTAAATCCACTAGGAAAGGTTCCACTAGGAGTGATGGTATTTTAGACTTAATTCATACTGATATTAGTGGACATTTGTCTTCTACCATACGTGGGAACAAATATTTTATAACTTTTGCAAATGTGTCAAAGAAAAGGTCTCTACTTCGTGAATCATCCTCCATGTTATGGCATAAGCCGTTGGGTCACATTTCAAAGGATATGATTGAGAGATTGGTTAAGTTGAGATTCTTCCCTCTCTCGACTTCTCTGATTTTGACACTTGTGTGGATTGTATAAGAGGAAAGTTGACTAAATCCACTAGGAAAGGTTCCACTGTGAGTGATGGTATTTTAGACTTAATTCATACTGATATTAGTGGACCTTTGTCTTCCACCATATGTTGGAACAAATAGTTTATAACTTTTATTGATGATTTCTCACCATATGGATATGTTCACTTGATAAATGATAAATCTCATACAATTCAGAAATTCAAGATTTTCAAAATAGAAGTAAAGAAACAATGTGGGAAAAGTATCAAAGTTGTAAGATCTGACCGTGGTGGTGAGTACTATGAGAAGTATGATAAGTTTGGTCAAAAGATGGGTGATTTTGCAAAGTTTTTACAACGGTGTGGCATAGTGTCTCAATACACCATGTTAGGGACACTTGAGAAGAATAACGTTTCTGAAAGGCGTAATCGAACTCTAAAAGACATGGCCAGGAGCATGATGAGTAGAACAAATTTGCTAGAATATCTATGAGGTGAAACTTTGAGAACTGCTATGCATATTTTGAACAGAGTTTCGAGTAAAGCTGTTGCAAAGACACCTTTCGAGTTGTGGACCAGACGTAAGCCAAGTTTGGCTCGTTTTAGAGTTTGGGAATGTCCAGCCGATGTGAGAATTTATAATCCATTTGAGAAGAAATTAGACCCAAAATCTACCTCTGGTTACTTTATTAGGTACCCAAACAAATCAAAAGGGTATAAGTTCTATTGTCCCAACCGTGGCACCAGAATTATTGAGTCAATCACTGCTAAATTTCTGGAAAATGACTTTGGTGATAGTGGGAGTTCTACGTTGAAGGAGTTTTTTGTTGAATCGAGTCCAGTTGTTGTTTCAACTCCTATTATACTGGAGAGAGTTATAACTCAACCAACTGAAATTTTTAATGAAGAACCTGGGCACCAAGAGGAACTAAGGTTCCTCCACCAACAATGATTGAATCAGTTCCCGAGCCACAAGTTCGGAGATCGCAAAGGGAAAGAAGGTCTGCATTACCCAGTGATTACATTACAAATTTGTTGGAGAGTGATTTTAATATTGGGCATATTGTTGACTCTGTTACTTTTAATCAAGCATTGACAAGTTCTGAGTTGCATAAATGGATAAATGCTATGGAAGNTATACCTCAACCAACTGAAATTGTTAATGAAGAACCTGGGCACCAAGAGGAACTTCAGGTTCCTTCACCAACAACGATTGAGTCAGTTCCTGAGCCACGGGTTAGGATTTTAATATTGGGCATATTATTGACCATGTTTTAATTAAGTATTGACAAGTTTTGAGTCACATAATGAATAAAAGCTAGGGAAGATGAAATGAATTCTATGGAACATAATAAAGTTTGGGAATTTGTTGAACTTCCTCAGGATGCTAAAGTCACAGATAACAAGTGGATCTTCAAAAGTAAATTGGAAGTAAAAGGGAATGTTGAACGAAAGAAGGCTAGATTAGTTGCAAAAGGGTTCACTTAACGAGAGGACATTGATTATAATGAAACTTTTTCACCTGTTTCGTCCAAAGATTCCTTTCGAATTATCATGGCACTTATGGCACATTATAATTTGGAGCTTCATCAGATGGATGTTAAGACGACTTTTCTGAATGGAGATCTTTCGGAAAGGATTTAAATGAGACAACCTAAAGGTTTTGTTGTGAAGAAAAAAAAAACTTGGTATGTTGAAAATACAGTTGATCAATGTATTTATATTAAAATCAATGGAAGAAATTTTATTTATCTTGTCATGTATGTTGATGACATTTTCATTGCTAGCAGTGACTTGGGGTTACTTCACGAGATAAAGAAAATGTTATCTGCTAATTTTGAAATGAAAAATCTTGGAGAAACTACTTATGCTTGGTATTGAAATATATCGTAATAGAAATAGTGGCGTGTTGGGACTTTTCAGAAGGCTTATATATGACGTATTCTAGAAACGTTCAATATGCATAAATGTGCACCTGGTGATGTACTTATCATAAAAAGGCATAAGTTTAACAAAACTCAATGTCCAAGGAATGGGCTAGAAAGAGAATCTATGAAGATGATGCCATTTACTAGTGCTGTGTGGAGTTTGATGTATACTCAAGTTTGCACTAGATCAGATATTGCTTATGCAATCAGTGTTCTCAGTAGATTTCAGTTGAATCCAAGGTAAGAGCATTGGAAACAGCTAAGAAAGTTATGAGATACTTAAAGAAAATTGATAGTTACATGCTCACTTTCCAGCGTTCAAATCACCTTGAGGTGGTAGGTTACTCAGATTCAGATTTTGCAGGATGTCAAGATGATTTGAAATCAACATCAGGTTATATTTTCATATTGGCTGGTTGTGCTATCTCATGGAAAAGTGTTAAGCAGACTTTGGTGGCATTTTCTACTATGCAAGCTGAATTTGTTGTATGTTATGGAATTACAATCCAAGCCGTTTGGTTAAGGAATTTTATTTTTGGACTAAAAGTTGTTGACTCCATCTCGAGGCCAATTATTATTTATTGTAATAATAGCGTAGCAGTGTTCTTTTCAAGAAACAACAAAAGTTCTAGTGGATCAAAACACATTGACATTAAATATTTGGTGGTCAGAGATAGAGTCAAGGAAGGACAAACGAAAATAGAGCATATTAATACAGAGGCGATGATTGCAGATCTTTTGACTAAGGGATTCGCTCCTGAAGTGTTTTAGACACATATTACTAATATGGGTATTGTGGGAACATTTGATGTTTTTGGTTAGTGTGAGTTATTTATGTAAAAGAACTACGTTTTGGCTTGATCCCTTCACGGGGTACGTAGGCAACCCATATGTTTTTCGGGTACAGCCTCTTCCAATAATAAAATATATTTTCCCATATCCATAAATTGTTTTGAGCATATATTTGACTTATGTCTTTTATTATGATATTATTTTGATCTCGAGATATGACACTTAAAGACATAAGATGAGTCTCCTTCAGAGACATGTGGCTTCATTTTGATTAAAAACATTTTGAGGACGGTATGAATTAGCACAGTATTTT